ATGCACATACGCATAAAAAACACACCATGGAGATATTGCTCATATTAGGATCTCATGTATTCTGCTGTTAAAATACTCCATTCCTTTCCACCCACTGGCTGAAATGTCAGGTTTGTCTTTAGAGCAGAGAAGAGCAAAGCATAAAGCATTCTTCTCTTTTCTCTCAGAAATCCGGTAAGTACCTGAAACTAGACCATTTGTTTTCTGCTGGTCTTCTTCCATTGTCCTCAAAACACACAAGGATTAGTAGGAGACATTGTTTGGTTCCTTATACATATCCTCTCTGTAGTGCCTCTCCTTAATCAAAGTCCCTTTTTAATGTACTTTATAAGTCATTGTTCACTACATGATATTTGAATGACATGAAAAGCTCCTTTTTCTTTTTTCTTTTTTTTTTGTCTTGCTTTGTTTTACTTTACTTTCCATAGGCCAGATGACTACTGTGTCATTTGAAATATTTTAAAGTGTAATTCTACATTAGAAAATGCTAAGTGTTAAATGAAGATATGCAACCAAATTAAATGAACAATATATTATTCAACTTACTTAATAGAGTTGGAAGTTGTTTACAAACAAGTAAATAAATTCGGATCACATTTTTTTTTACTTTGTTGTTTTCTTTTCTCAAATACTATTACCAAATTTGTAGAGGAGGAAAAAGAAACCGTTATCAATTAGTATATTTTTCTCAATCTTTATTTTTACTTGTGTCTCAAAATAAGGAACACTTTTAAAGCAAATTGGCTAGATGTGGTTGGCTGAAGCAGGAAGACTGAAATTTTCAGGCAATTCTAGGCTATGTAACAAAACAAAAACTTAAGAAAGATATAAGTTAAATTTTTCAAAATGCAAAAAATCTGAATACTGAACAGATACGTTTTATTACTATGGAATTCATTACTTATTATTTGTATTAAAATTATCAACAAATATACAAAGGCTTTGACTGGATGTATTTGTCTTTCACATCACTAAATTTAATGTGTTCTACTGAATTTTATTGAAAATAAAAGTAAATAATTTTGCTCGTTTTTTATGGTCCAAATGGAAAGATTTGGTTATGTTGTTATTTTTATTACCTTTAAAGATGCTAAGACTTATGACAGTGCTTAAAATAATTCATTTACCACTTTCCAAAAGTAAATCTTGATGACTGCCACACTATTAACCTTATACTTTTCAGATGATTTTTATTTATATTCTTACTGCCAAGGTGAAATCATATATGAAATATAAATGAATCGGTTTACGTTGAACTCCCTGTGAGTCTTTCAGTTCAGGTGTACCAGTTCTGTATAGGCTTTTAGGCATTCAAAATCCATCCTTGTTTATTACACCTTCATTCAAGAAATGTAAAGATATATTTATTGTGTTATTGAAGTCTGTAGAGTTAACAATAAACACAAATAATGTTTGTCATATTGACTTCAGCTGTGGAAATGTTTTTAAACTATATGCATAGTATTTTCAGACCATTATCTTCTTGTCAGTAGTAGAAATTTATTTTTTTAAGGATAAGTCTTATTATAGAAAATCCTGTCAACATAAAATAAAGAGGAATTCATGATTTTGGTAAGATAAACTTATATTTCAAAGTAATTTATTAAATTCTGAAAGTTAAAAAAAGACATTCATAGGATGAGATACTATGATTTTGTTTGTAAGAATACAAGGCTATATTATAAGGTCTATAAATTAATATTCAATTCTGGCTTTCAAAGCTCTTGGCAGACATGAAGAGGAGATTGGAACAGATTTGAGAGAAGTCTGGATGATATTCTTTCAGATCCTAGCTCTGGTGTATTAGCTGGGTGGCATTACATCAACATAGCCACTGATCGCTATAGTTTCCTTGTCTCTGAAAAGTTGGGACTAAATGTCAATAATTTCTCATATTTAACAAATGAGCCATTAATAATCCTGCAATCAGTTCTCATAAAAAACTTAGCTGTTTATTTCAAATCTTTATTTAAAACTACTTTGAAACAGTAAAAGAGATTTCCTGTGCATTCTAAAATGTCATTCTGTTTGCTTAGAAGCAAACCAACCTTCAAAGTATTAAAAGCTGTCTCTTCATACAGTGAATATCATCAAGCTATATTATATAAATATATGAAAATGTAACAACAAGGCTTTCTATTTTGCACAGTTAATAAACACTAATAGGAATTAGTCACAAGGTACAATTGAACCTTGAAAATAATCTGGCTTAGTGATTTCATTCCTTTTTATTTTGTGATATTTTAACTTCCTTGCAAACCAAATCAGCCAAAACAATTCATCTGATTTGATTAGCTTGATTATTTTTCCTAAAAAAAAGTATGGCTATGATTTTTTTAAAGCAACCACTCATAATGTGTGATTGCTTACAATTGTATAATAATCTAAAGGAAAACCTGATGTTGAAGATGCTCTATTTTTCCCACATGTATTTTCTTACTACAAAATAATAAGCGGATTTAACTTTTATTCCCTCTCATAGTTAAACAACTTCTGAATAAGAACTCCAGAAATGACAATACTGATCTATTTTCATTTGCTAATGAAACCACATTTATATAGGTACAATGGGGAAAATAACAATTGTCCAGAGAGAGAAAAGAAATATGAATGAAAAAGAATACCATTTTAATGCCTTCAACTCTGTTTTTTATCCTCTCTATCCAAGTTAAAGACTTTGCTTGTAAGTTCAGTAATGAATTGTAAGATTGTATGGCATACCTTACAAGCAGGCGTGTTCTCATATTGACATATATGATATGTGGAATGGTCATAATCTACCCTCTGTTTATACTGTAAGTGTGGCTCTAATGAAAATGACAAACTGTAGAAATGTTTATTAAAGACTCATTATATGGGCATGTGTTAAAGGAGGGTTTCTTATTTTCTGACTAACATTTCAGTAATTTAAATTCTGATAAACCATGTAACACAGACTCATGAATTTTGGGGCAGTGGAAATTATTTCCTTTGACTCTTTTTTCTGCATATCATCAATTTGCTTTTGACTCATGTTTCCTCTACTGTCACTGTAAGCTTACTTGTTGTTTTCTTTCCTTTTCTTCATGCTGTCGTTTAGAGCCCTACAGAGAGACAAGTATGGGAGTAAAGCTAAACATTGCATATCAAATGTAATTTTTTTTAGTTCACTTTTATTGCATCACATATAGATGATGTAGTTATTAAAAACAGTTCATCTCACAATATAAGAACTGAAGAGCCTATGAATCTTGACTGATATATAAATATATATATATATATATGCTAATACAGATTAGACGCTTTTGTTGTCTGATTCTTTTATCCTGTCACATAATCAATGTAGTTAAGTCTCATGTAATGTTTGTGTGAGTTAAATTGTTTTTAAATTAAGCATTTTTTTGCTAAGTAATTCATAAACTTTTACTTTTTATTGGTACATTCCATCATAAAAACATGTCTCATTGCTGCATCTCCACCTTACTTTGCTCTGGCTGTGTTCATTCTCTGTGTTATGCATTGACAACAGAAATAAAGAACATGTTTCAATGCATCATAACCATTAAGCTCATCCTACCAGTCACTGCAAGCGCAGTCGCCCATCACATGCAACACTTTATTAGGCATTTACTTTTTTTCCCTTGACATTGTGGATTTGTGTACAAGATATTTTATGACATGAAAATAAGTCCCTTCAACCTATGTCTGTGATGGTTGCTTATTAATGCATTTTATGCATTATTGCTTTTTGAAGACTGACTTACTTGCACACAAGGTATGCAAAAGTCTATATAAAAATTCAAACACATTCAATACTTTATGAAACCAGTATTTAACTAGTTGACTTCTCGTAAAAATAATTGCATCACAGATATAGAATGAAAGCTCTATTTTCACAAATTAGTAGCATATCGAGAAGTTTTAGAGAATTTGTCAATTAATTTTTTAGGAAAGAAAAACCCTTCCTGATTGGTTAAATGTTTCTGTATTTTTTCTTTTGTGGTTGCATTTGAAGTGATTTATGGAACTATTACATATTTTTAAATTTCTTTATTCAAGGGGATGCAAAAGCCTTGAAGAAGTATATGGTCAAATTTATTTCACTATAACTGTTCCTCACCAGAATAAAATGTTTATCTTTTAAATTCAAATTTCAATATGTACCAAGTCATCACATTATACTGCCATTATGATTTTAGGAATCAAATCTCTGTGTTTTTACACATTTACATGTAGTATATCTAGTGACTCTACACAATGAATAATGGGTTACTATATAACCATTACAAAAGTATTTAAAATAGAAAAAATTAAAAAGTAAATCCAAATAATTTTAAGTTCCTAATGTGGAAATCATTTAGATGTGTCATAGCCATATGTTTGACTTAAGTTTTATTTCATGACTACATCATTTCTACAAATTTAACATAATCCTTTTGTGGTTTTGTGTGTAGGAATTATTTCTAAACTTATGAAATTATGTATCAAATTATTAGAAACTATTTGTTTTTCCTTTCTAGCCAGCGTATTCAAAGTACCACACAGGAATTATGTTAATATTTTAGCTATTTCAATAAGAGATGTAAAGTTAATGAATTAATTGACTTTGATGTGTATAAATTGAAAGCTATGAATGAATACACTAAAAATTTTTTTCGCCCATTTGTTATAACCAAATATCCTTTAAATAATGTTATACAATGTTTGAAGAAATTGCAAGTTTATAATTTATAGGTATGGGAAAAGTCTCTTAAGATTTACTTTAAATACAGCTTTTGCATTTATGAGACTAATGTGAGATGTTCAAGATTCACATTGATATTGATATGTACACATACATGTACCAACATTTTTTGCTCCTTTCTGAACATTTTCTATTTGTTAAAATGCTAGCAATTTATACATATTTCACAGTCAATGAATGTTTTTGTGTTTGTGTGTGTGTGTGTGTGTTTGTGTGTGTGTGTGTGTTCTGTGGCCTTTTGGATATAAATGTCATAGTGTCTTGTAATCTTTTTCAGAGGGGCTTCTGAACAATGCCAGGGATACAAGTGTCATGGATACTCTACCACTGAATGGTAACCATGGCAACAGTTACAGCATTGCCAGCGGCGAATACCTGAGCAACTGTGTGCAAATAATAGACCGTGGCTATACCCACAACGAGACCGCCCTAGAGAAAAAGATTCTGAAGGAACTCACTTCCAACTATATCCCTTCTTACCTGAACAACCACGAGCGCTCCAGCGAACACAACCGGAATCTGATGAATAAGCTGGTGAATAACCTCGGCAGTGGAAGTGAAGATGACGCCATTGTCCTGGACGATGCCACCTCCTTCAACCACGAAGAGAGTCTGGGCCTGGAACTCATTCATGAAGAATCCGATGCTCCTCTGCTGCCCCCACGCGTGTACTCCACAGAGAACCACCAGCCGCACCACTCCACCAGAAGGAGGATCCCCCAAGACCACAGTGAGAGTTTTTTCCCTCTGCTAACCAACGAGCACACGGAAGATCTGCAGTCACCCCACAGGGACTCTCTCTACACCAGCATGCCAGCCCTGGCTGCTGTGCCCGCCGCAGAGGGTGTGACCACCAGCACCCAGACCGAAACCCCCGCGGCCAAATGTGGTGATGCTGAAGATGTTTACTACAAAAGCATGCCAAACCTAGGCTCCAGAAACCACGTCCATCAGCTGCACACCTACTACCAGCTAGGGCGAGGCAGCAGTGATGGATTCATAGTTCCTCCCAACAAGGATGGAACCTCTCCCGAGGGAAGTTCAAAAGGACCTGCTCATCTGGTCACTAGTCTATAGAAGACGACACGGAAATGGAACCCCACAGAACTGCTAACACCACCTTGGACTGTGCTGCCATGAATAGAAGCAGTGGTGACTGTGTGTACTCCTGAATCTTTATGCTGTTCTCGAAAGACAAACACGAACTCTCTGACTTCTTTTTCTTTTCCTTCTTTCTTTCTTCTTCTTTTTTTTTTTTTTTTAACTGAGATTTTTAGCCAGTCCAGGGGAGAAAGGTTAACTGTGAAAGAAAAAAAAAAAGTCCTCTGGGCCCTCCCCTTCCTTGTCCTTTCCCTTCAGATGGAGACTTCATTATGTTAATGAAGGAGATATGAAGAAAACAGCGCTTAGTGTGGCCTTGTTGAATTCTGTTGTGTTTAACATCTCCGATGCTCTGATACTATCATGACAAGGACCTGAATCTTCCTTCCCTTTTCTTCTTTCTTTTTTTTTTTTTTTTTGTTGTTGTTGTTTTTGTGAAAGCCAGAACAGTTGTTTGCGATGAGTAACAATACTGCGTCTAGATGGGAGTGCTGCACCAGCCTACGAGCAAAACTGTATCATGTAGTCGTTTATGATCACTCACCAACCTACATTCGCCACAGCAAGAAGGGCAGTGGCAAAGAAAAAACAAAGCAACACAATTAATAATCAGATGGAGGGGAATTCTAGAATTATATGCTAAGTGCATATTTTATGATTTGCTGTATTAACGGATGATAAAACTAATGGCAGAAAATTGAGCAATTTCTATGTAATGTACAGATACTAGCATTGCACATATAGTCTGCTTTTCGTTCCTCCAGAATTTCAGTCCTGTTACTGTAGTGGGAAAAAAAATTAGGAATTTTCTTTTTCTTTTGTGCTAGTCTTGCAAGTTTGTCTACCAGTAAAAGAGCAACGCTTTCTTCTTTTACTTCTTTCTTTCCTGCATTTTCTTTTACCTTTCTTCCCTTTTTTTTTCTTTTAAAATTTCACCTGGCAAAAATAAATAAATAAATAAATAAATAAATGAAACTATCACTTTATAAGAATCATTTTCTAGTAATGCAAACAAATTATTTTTTACAAAAAATAAAATAAAAATAAATAAAATTAGACTTCCTTCCCTCACTATATATCTTTATCCAGCAGGAATATTTCCAACACCATTTTTGTTTTTGTTTTTGTTTGCAAATTAGGACAGGATAGATTTTTTTTTTTTTTAGTGTTTTCTGGTACAGCTGTTGTAATGCAAAGCATATTTGGCAAGCAATTCATCACTAAGACAGTAGCTATGATTCTAGAAGCCAAGAGGTGTCATTAGAACTGGAGGGATTTCTGCATGTGAAAAGCGGTATTCCATAGGCATTAAATGTGGAATTCTGGGTCAAATCCCCAAGTGGGCACCTGCACTACCAATTTTTAGAGGAAATTCACTCCCTCATAATAAGAATTGAAAGGTCAAATAATTTTGCAGTGTTTTTTTTTAAGTCTTCTGTTTATCAACAAGAAAACTTATTTATTTGACAGGATTTTAAGTAATGTAGAAATACAAAAGGTAAATTAGCAGCACATTTTTTTTAAATTTATGATCCATTTTGTATGGTCTCAAAGTTGGATGACCTCATTACTAATATTTGTTGTAAAAGTGAAACTTGTTTGCCAACCAATAAACAACTGATTGAGATTTAGATTATATTGTATGGATGTATGTACTATATTATTAATTACTATTCTCATTTTTCTCGCCTTTCCTTTTGTTTTCAAAATATAAACTTTGTTAATCTTCTGTGCACTAAGTGAACCAGGCAAAAGAAATCAATCTAACTCCATGCATAACCTAAGCACAAAATGATACAGTTTTTGCAGAGTTTATGTTACTGAAACAAGATGGAAACCTTACTCAGATCTAGGTTTACCAACAGGTTACAATGGTTTATTTGTAAGCCAGCTGAAGGCATCATGTTTCTTTTAAAAGCCACATTCAATCAGAGATTTAATTATAAAATTGGAAGGGAGACGTCAAATGTTCTTCCATTTTGGTAAGCTTTGTTTTGAGGAAGGCAGAAATGTAAACTCACTCAACTGGCTAAATTTGACAAGTACAACAAAGGGAATATCTGTTGTATATAGACAGTGGAAGACAGTTTCTGTTCTGACTTTTTCTTGCATACAAGGAGTTAAAAATAAGGCTTAGATCTCCAGTTACCCTTTCCCAGCTGTACTCAAACATTCAGTTCTACTTGGGGAAAAGCTAAAAATGAACTTGCCAATACACAATTCCTCTTGTAGTATAGCTTAGGGCTTTTATTTTTCAAAATTCTCTACACCACCAATAAATGCATATCGTAAATTATAGATGAGAAAGAATAATTTAGGAAATGGTCAGTGATGCACTGACAGTTTTAAAACGGTATTACAAAATAAAGTTGTGCAGGGCCAGAGTACACATGAAACTTTATAGCATCTCCAAATATTTTGTGAATCCTGCTTAGTCAAATACTATAAATATCTGCAAAGTCTATTTTTTTTTTAAGTTGGGGAACAACAATGATTAGCAGTAGTTTTCCTTATGGAGCCACATTGTGGAGATCTCAGCATTTAAAAGGTATTTATCCCACCGGAAACAGAGAATCTATTTGGCAAAAAAAAAAATACTTTTTAATTGTTGTAGGCAAGTCCAAAAAAACACAGGCTGTCTGCATCATGTCTTGATGTGTAGTGATCTGTATGAAAGCAACTCAGTCCATAAGAAACTATTTCACGAACATTGGAGGAAACTACCTCAATTCAGCTTGTCTGATTTTTCTGACTTTGCTACCTCCCTGCTTGTGATCTTTTGTGTTTCACCATAGGGAAATAGGAAGCAGGTAGCCTCCCCAACTCTCCATAGGCCAACATGAAAAAAGAGCACTTGAATAAGCTGGTACAGAAGCCCATCCAGAACTATCACTTACAACCAAGCTTTTGCATTAGGAAAAGAGGTGATTTTGATGACATCTCATACATCAGTACTGGTGTGATTTCTGAAAGAACTAAGATCCCAAAGACTTTTCACAGTGAGAGGATTCCTCCAAATTTGATGATGATGATGATGATGATAACAAAACAGTAAAGAAAGTAGTTAATCCTGCATAGAAATTTATGTATAACTTACATATTGCCGCTTCATCCTGTTTACACTAGTGAGAGTTGAATTCCTGGAACTTGAATCTTTTTGTCTACATGCCTTTTTATGCCAAACTATGAATGCACTGATTTTTTCTGTCTAGCACCTGTGGTTAACCCCAATTTTTACATTATCCTTTATGAGCTATTATTCTACATTATTTTTTGCTTTCATCTGACTTTTTATTCAATATACTTCTATCACATAGACATAATGTACAGACATCACAGATGACTTAGTCTTCTAGACATGTTATGTTGACGAAACAAACCGATCATTACTCTCTGATAGTATAATATTTTTATAATGTTCTACGTTTTGACATTTTTCTTTTTTCAATTTAGGTTATATGTCTTTTTAAAAATCAGAATAGTAGGTAATGAATTTCATGTTTAACTGATTCTAAAAAAAACTGATGGATTGTTGTACAATGTATATACCTAATTGATAATATTTTTTTGAGAAACCCAAATTTTAGGAAAGAGAAAAAGGCTAGATTTCTAATTAGGTTTTGTGGGCTCCCTCCATGCTTCCACTTCACAAAATCTAAACACTCATAAGAACAAAAAGAACAGGCATGAGGACAATTATATTAAAGCCAAAATAATCAGGAACATCTAGTAAATCAAAAGTAGGCAACAGAAATACCATTAAGTTCCTATAAAAAATAGTGTGTCTAAATAGAAAGATGGTTCATGATCTGGGCTTTTTAAAAGACCACCATTATTTAAAAATACATTAACATTCAAGTCATTTAGGTTTTTGATTTTATAGTAAGGAAAAAAGCATGTAAGAGAATTGCATATATAAAGAATATGTTAATTTTAAGCACTATCCAGCTTTTTTTTAACTACATATACATTCAGACCCACTGAGACTGACCTCTACTTTATTGTGTAGACAAAAATAAGAAAGAAAAATAAGGAAAAAGTGAACTCTGAACTAAACTGTAGCCCTTATTAATGAAAATACTTAGGCTTTTGAATTTATCTAATCATAATGCACCAATGATCGATTCCTTGCTATTATCTTGTAAACAAAACAAAACAACAACAACAACAAAAATCAATTAAATAATATACTGTTTAACTCCAAGTACACACCACTTAAAGTTTAGACAATAGGGGAAACCCTAAAACTCCAATCTGGCTTTGAGTGAATGAGAAGATAATGGTCTATTTTTCTTTCTTCTGTAACAAAACCAGTAATACATAATAATATGTATAAACTTCACAGTATATTCTAGACTAAGGTATTAAGATTAATCAGTTCTCTTTCAGTAACTCATAATTACAACTCATCATATACATAATTACTATGAAGTCCTAATAATACTTTCTACTTTACATTTCTTCACATTCAAATGTTAGGAAGGTGGAGCCATAAAAGCAAATGGCAGCATTGCAAAATAGCTTATAAAGGCATTTTTGTGCAAATGAATTTTGCCTAAGAACTTATTTGAACTCATGAAATCATTTCAGGAGATTTCAACAGTAGATTACATTTTGTAATCAGCAAACATCTGTTATAACCCATTTCAAAAAATACTGTTAGACATCTAAATTTTCATTTGTAGTCTGTTCTATGGTTAAATCACAAGAGAAACTTTTCCAATTTGATAATTTACCTTGATTATTTCTCCCTTGCTTTAAAAAGGAAACCTGTATTCCTATTTACAAACTGATTATTTTGTTTTGAAAGCTTCAATGGCAATAGATTCTTTCCAATCATTACAAAACTTTGAATTTTTCCCCAATAAAACAAGTAGTTTGGCATTTTCTCATTTGAAATATTTAATTGCTATCCTTTTTTAAAAAGTAAAAGGTCAGCATTTCAGCATCTAGAACTTTTATTATTCAAATATCTTGAGTTCAAACATGCCTTGATATTGCTCTCTCAATAGCTCTCAACCACTTTTTTTTCTTACTTGATAATTTTCATTTCATTAAGTAAAAGGTAGAAGCTTCTGCCCAAAGGTTAAAAGCAAACTATGATTTTGTGTAGTCAAGGAAGACT